AATGGTATCCACATTTTTGGCTATCCCAAAAATTGGTCGCGGCAAGAAAGGATTTTGAGTGAGGGGGCTAAAAAAGTGGGTTCTAAACAGCCCCCAGGTACTGGGTTCAAAGGTTGGGCCCCATTGGCTCCACTTGTTGCATGCCCCATTGGCCCAGCTGCATGCAAATGTTAATTAAGCGAGCGTGCCTCTCAAAATTCCGCCATCCCCTCGTCGGAAAATTAATGTACTTCAGAACCCAACTCTGTTCGCAAAAGGACGAGGATGGATGGATGGATGGATGGGAATGGGAATGGGGATTATGGGGCGAAATCCAAATTGGAAAATATTTGATGCTCCCGGTGGCTCCAAGCTGCTGCTCCCGGCTGCATTCCAATAGCAGGGCAAATAATGGTCAATGGCCAAAAAGGGGAAAATAAGCGCCACGATGGACAGGTGAAAAATGGGTAGAAGTGGGTGTGGGAGTGGGTGTGGGAGTGGGTAGTCCAATCAATATGGAAAGCACTTGAAGAGCATGATTCATATTCAACACGCGCCGAGTTTCCGCTGAAGCATTAAGAGGTTCAAATGAAATGGAACGAAACAAAATGAAATGAGAATAATAAAGGATACATTACAAAAAAGATTGCTACAATATTAATATAAATGGGCTGCACGAAGTTTAATCTGCTAGGAATTACTTTCTCATCCTTTTTAATTTCCTCTCATTTAAAGTAGGAAGCCAATGTTGTTAATTTTGGATTTTATACATTTCTTTGGTAATATTCATCTTTACATTTTATTACAATTTAAATAGGGTATTTTAAAAAATATTTATAATGCAGTTTTTAATATAATAAATAAATACATACTCAAATATATATTTGCAAATTTTATTTAAAGTTAGAAATATGTTTGGATTCTAAGCAAAGTTTATTTGCAGTTTTTTAAATCGTATAGATCAGATACATTTGTTTGTATTAGTTTCAAGGGTTTCACAAATCTTTAGCCTAATTTTCTCACAGTGCGCGGGGAGCAGCTTTGAAAAGGAAATTAAGTACACATTGTTTTGGATGATGATTGCTGGAGGGCAAGTAGTGGGAAATGAGGGAGCCGCCATTTCATTTTCCATTCGGTTTCGGGAAATTACGAATGACTGGCCAGGACTGCGAGTACAAGGACCAGAAACAGGACAAAAAACAGGACCAGGAGTAGGAGCCGGACAAGCCAATGCAATCAGCGCCATGCAAAAATCTATTTGAAATTTATAGCAATCAGTGGAAAAGTGGGGAAAGGGGGGCCTTGTGCTCGCTGAGTCGTTCAATATTGTAAGCAAGTATGTATTCTAAATGCGAATAAATGAACAATAAATTGTGAGCTAGCAGCGGCAGATTGTCCCGGTTTTCTTGTACTCGAGTGAGTACTTTCGCCCCACCCCCGCGCTGATTGTTTTTGCCACTCGAGAAAGCATCTTCATGTCGCCGGCAAAGCCGCAATTTATTGTCCGCCTAATGTCTGCGAATGGAACGGAGAATTCCCAGGCCCCAGGGGGGCGTGGCTACGCCCACGATTTGCGGTAGATTGCCTCCAGAGTCGAGGGTTCTGGCACCCATCGAAATATATTTATTTATACATTCTCCAGATACAATTTCGGCCGTTTATTTCGCAAATAAATAAAACGGGTTATGGCTGAAAATGAAATGGTATTTTTGAGCTAAATATTTATTAGGTATTATTATATTCCTCAAAGTATTTGTGGTAAAATAGGACTATTTTAAATAAAATTAATTGAATTTAATTAAATTTTTTTCGGAAATATCGAAGTTTTACTATTATTGGATTTTTGTTTAATGCACTTCCCTGTATTTATTATTGTTAATAATCACTATTATGAATTAAATTGTTAAATAGAATTTCATGGAAAGACACACTCTTTGTTTGTCCTAAATCCTGGTTTTACGCTAAATATTTATTAGGTAAATATTATTAGGTTACGAGTGGTAAAAAACCCTATTTAAAATTCTATTTATTTAATCCAATGATTTAAAGCTAATTTTTCCTGAATTGTAGACGTTTAGTGGTAATTTGTTTAATGTTTTATAAATTATTGTTAATAATACTTTACATTTGCTATATAAACTGAACATTCATTCCTCGTTAATGACGTACCACTATCAATTTTTTTCCCCACCACCTCTGATTGTGTTTGGATGTTAACTTGGCAACTCGTTTCCCACTTTATCCCTTTTTTTCAAACTTAATGTCCTTGTGACTGTGGTCTCTTCGGCAAATTTGCTTACTCAACGGCCCTTCCAGCTCCTCAAAGTGCAGTCTGTGCCACGCCCCCCAATCATGCTCGGCATTTTTAGCTTTAGATAATGAAGGACCCCAGGACTCGTAAGCCCCAAGTCCTGTAGGCCCAGGCAGCTCATAAAGCCGCAAAGTGCCGCTATGGGTTGTCGTTGCAGCGCCACTGATGCTGTCGCTGTCAACCGTGCACTTCCAATCGCCATTGCAGATGCAACAGCAACACCAGCAACACTTGCAATTCCAGCAACCGCTGCAGCACTTCCTGCCACGTTCTCACACCACAAAAATTAAGCCAGATTTTTAAAAGAATTTTAAAAAATAATTATAATCCAACCATAAATATAAACAGATAAATACTTTTTCACCAATTATAAACCTTAATTTTGCTAATGCTTACAAATTGTTCATTTTCAGTGAACTCTAAACACCTAAGCCTTTTTTTAGTTCCCCAAAACTAATTATAAAATGTACAATAAAATTGAAATTTGTTAAGAGGTTGGAATCTTTGAACTTATTAATTTTATCAAAACTAATTTGTGAATTTCATAAAATAATTACAAATGTTCAATGTACAATAGTTTTTAATAGTTATCCATGATTTTTTTTACAGTGCCTCAGGCGTGGGCGAGTCAGACTTTTGTGAATTTTCCACAACTGCAGAATGAGGCCCGGGCAAATGCAAGCGAAACGCACGAGTGTGTATGCATACATGTTCCATAAATAATCTCCATTTGCAATGCAACATGCAATGTTGGCGTTGCCTCCCGATTTTCCATTGCCTCGGCCAATGCTTCTCATTTTCATTCAGTCGCTGCCACCGGGCCAGCACTACTAACTCCAATTCTCTCAGTGCACTGAGAAAAGCGTTAATAGTTCGTAAGCCATACCAAATTAATATTTTTCTTTTAAACATTCTACTTTACATTTTAAGGGAAGAAACAAATCAAATACTTGTTTAAATTAATACTACATTTTGTAATTATCTGGACAAAATATTTAAGGTAAAAAACTGTTTATATATGTTATAGCAAAAAAATGTAGATCCAAATAACAAAACATTAAGAGAAACTAAACTTAACATCAAAATAAAACAAAATAAATTTAAAATTTCTGAATTAAATAAAGAGTTCTCAAAATAATATTTGTTATTTTGCTTATCTTCTTTTATTAAGCACACAAATATTTGTATTATATCCAGAAACTAAACAAAACCGAGAAAGCCAAACGAAATTCGACATCAAACACTGTTTGCCTAATTTGTTGCAGTGTAATCGTCCGCCTCCAAGAGCTGTTGCATCCACTTCTGCAGTTACTGTGGCCGGGCTGTCATTGTTTATGTACGTGAATTGCAAATCTCTTCGACGGACGGAGGGACAGAGTGTCCGGACTCCGGATTCTCCGCTTCTCGTTCGTGCCGCAAAGACGCCCGAAAATGGATGCCAGTTTCGGGATTGGTAATTTCGGATTTCAGATTGCAGTTGCGGTTGGACGATGCGATGTCCATATCTCCAGCCATTTCCCTCCTTCAACCCATCCTACATTTTTTTTTTGCCACCTAAGCCGAGCCCTCACCCGCCCACCTTTCTTTCCACCCACTCTGACTGAAATTGGCTTTAGCCGGCTGCAGTGGAGCAGACGATATGCTTAAGCAAAGTTTACCGCATTGTCGCCATTTGCCGTTTTCCGTTTGCTGTTTTCCCAATCCCAATCCCACTACCACTCCCACTCCCACTCCCCCGACAGCCAGTTTTCCGGCCAGGACTTTGCCGCACTCGCCAATCCTGGGAGTTCCTTTCTTGGGCCTCGGCTTATTACGATTATGATGTCTTTTATGGTTGCGGTCTTGTAGCAGAAAGCCGCCAGATGCTCGGGCACGCACACACATTTCGTGGGAAGCCCAAGTATAGTGCGCGGAGCACCTGTATATTCCGCAGCATACGTTCCATGGATTTCAGTGGGAGCATAAAAAAAATATTAGAACTAAGGGCAAGTCATTGAAACTCAATACGTGAAGTTTTAGGTTAACAATAATGGATCATGGATTAATGGTCACCATATTTGGCCAAGTTAACCCAGATTATGGACTATTATACCTATCGCGAAGCAGCTTACTGAGTACTTAAATAATACATTTTTCGGACATTTTTTTGCGTTTTTGAAATATCAAAAAATTGACCAAAAATCGAAATAACATTAAAAATCAAAATTTCAATGCAGAGGTGTGCCACTTTTAAACCAAGATTACATTCAACAAATTATGCGAAATATATCTTTTCATAGATATTTAAAGACAGGGTTTCAATGTGTATTAATAATCTGAAGACTTAAACCACTTGTAAAATTTGCATCCATCGTTCAATTTTAAAAATGAATCTCCTTAATATTTTTATTTTATAGATTATAATAGACTTACACATTTATTTTCAAATTTTGAATGGAAATAAAATACCATTAAAAAACCTATACAGTTCTATATGAAATTTCCACTTGTAAGATATTCTTCCAGTGTCAATTAAAATATAGATTTCTCTTAAAGAGCTTTATTTTTATAAATACCAAATACTTCAGTTTCAATACTGAAAACTGAAAACATAAATTTATTTCGAAGGGAAATAAATTCACTTTTATATAGACACCAAAAGTTCGTTTCAATAATTTATTAAAATACTGAAATCTTTACACTGAGATCTACAAACTTTGTGATTTTCGATATCAACACAAAAATATGTTATATTAATTTTTAACGGAATATAAAATAAGAAAAAAACGAATAAGATCGTCATTTACTTTAAGTCCGGGGGAAGTCGTTTACTTTTAAACGGAGTCGGAGTCAATGTTGAAGTCGAAGTTGAAGTCGAAGTCGAGGCCGAGATCGATGTTGGAGTCTATTTCTTCGCCAGCCGGTTCCACTGGATTTTCATCCTCTGAGATGGTCTCGACATCAATGAAATCATCTTCCTTTGTCGCTTTCATCTTAGTGACCTTATTAACATGATCGAGGTATTGTCCTCGTCCTCCCTTGGTCTCGTAATCAAACTTTTTCCAATTGTTCGGTGCAACCTGCGTGCCGGAACTGGTGTTGGCGATGTGTTCAGCTTGTGGCTGCTCCTGTTCCATTCCCAGAACCTCGAAGATTTCATCAAAGCTTACGGGTCCCTGGATCAGACCGGCCGGACCCGGCACATCGTGGTCCCTCAGACGCATGCAGATCGCCTCGATGTTTCGCAAACGCTCCACTTCCTCCAGGCTTGCGCTGGCATCTGGGTGCTCGTAGTCCATGATCTGCTTCAAGGCGCTATCGCAGAGGTTGTCCGGGTGCCAAACGCTCCGCGGAGCCTCTGTCTTGCAGTATCCATGATCCCTGGTCGCCAAGAATCCGCTAATGGAACTCCACAAGGGATCACCATTTTTCCCATTTGCGAGGAGAATGCCAGAGGCACCGTTTTGGCTGAGGCAGCTCATTGAGTCCCGGTTTGTGGCCATTATCGGGAACTGATCTGGCATTTTGTATTTAGCTGTGCTGGGAATGGTCTGAGAACCTGCGGATGTCACATCGTCTTTCTCGCCGAAGACACTTTTCAAATCGGGGCGCCACTCCTCCAGATAGGCACTTAGGTGGACATTATTTTCGGTCACTTTTGAATCAGTATTCTGCATGACATCTCCGCGAGGGCAATTCCTGCTCCCCGGGGCATTGAGCTCCGACTCTGGTAGCTCTCCAACGGAGTGATAGCAGAGGGCGAAGACCGGTACCTCCTCGACTCCGTTGGAGACAGGAAGCACCCTCGAACGTGTAAAATGAGGATTCAAAATGCCGGCCTGTGGATCAATTGGTTTCGATTGGGTTGGCTGGCGCCTCTTAGCCTTAGAAGCTCTCTTCAATTTGCTTTTTTTCGGCTGTGAAATATATTAACGAACACGTTGCATATAAAACGGACAGCGTGTTCCTAGGCGTCACTGCTTACCATTTCTGTTTAACAGCTGAATTTCCTGGAAAAATGTAAGTGTCCGCATGCGCGCATGCGTTGTGTCCGTCAAAAAATAGAACACTGTGGCCGGAGAAAAAGAGTTGCCGAGCCACCATGAGTGCAGTCCTGCACTATTTACAAATTTCATTTTTTTTTTTCTCTGCAATTGCATGACTATTTTAAACTTGCAAAGTCGGGGTGGCAGCGCCAAAATGTGATTCTTCCGGCAGGGATGCCAGATGGTTGCAATGTTAATTTAGCTTTGCGGGCTGCCAACTTTTTTTTTCACTGGCTTGGGTCTGTATGAATTTGATCTTAAAAATTACAAGAAAGGCAAGCCGAAGTTTATATACCCTTGCAGCTATTGCAAAAATTAAATATTCTTGAAAACACTAAAAACTAAAAACATTGAAGCTATGATGATTGATTGATGATGATAGCAGCTTAATTATTCGATAGTTTTTATGGTAGCTAATTGATATCGTTTTTCTGATTTTAATAAAATAAAAAGCGTAATTCTGAACTGTCAAATTATTAATAAGTCAAAAAGAACTAAAAAAAACTAGTTTGATAAATAACTAACATGAAATTTATAAACAAAAAAAATGCCGAATTTTAATGCAGTTAAATTGCGTATTAAATCTATGGGAATCACTGTACGATTTGCTCGGCACTGTATGCTCAGGATTTGCTCTAACATGCTTGGCAACCGCACCACAATCATCATCATCATCAGCATCATCATCATCATCATCATCTTCAGCAACATCAACATCAACCACATGATCATCGCCATCACCATCAGTTGTGATATGCAATGCGACAGGTTTGGCTCTCCCCAAACCGTCGTCTGCAACTTCCCAAGTTACGCAGTCGGGGTTCTCCGCCGTAATAATCCCCGGAGTCGGTCTCAGTCCCAGTCCCTCCGCCGGAGAATCCTCCGCCGTATTGCGTGCGGCGGCAGATTGGAAAATCATTGCAATAACTTCCACTTGTTTATCATCTGAACTTTGCATGCTGTTGGCTTGACGACGACTACTTTCGGTTCCATTTGAGGTTTAAGCTGTGGGCTAAAGTTGGGACGAAGTCATATGGCAAGTGCTTAAAGCCAGTTAGGTTTGCATTTCAATTACATCAATGCATGCGGCATTGGGGCAACCACTTTGATAGTAAGTTATTTTAAGCCTACATAACAGTGTGCATGGAAAATTAATGAAGCATTTTCTTTTATTTATATTGAGAACGCACCTAAATAGATTTCATAGTTTTCTTAGTTATCTTGAAATTATTTGAAGCTTAAATTACTTTATATAATTTGTTAAGTAACAGATTTAAATAAGTTTGAGCTTCCAATTTAATAAAGTCTAAAATCTAACTAAATACTCATTTTCTGGAATGTACAATTTGATATAGCTTTTAGACATATATGTAAATGTGAATCTTAACATCTGGAGGAACTTATTTCAAATCTTACCCGCAATGCCATAATGCAATGCAGTTTAATGGTAATTCAGATTAGGCCAAAGGCCGCAATCCAATTGAATTTCTATTGATTAACAAACGAAACGATTTGATTCCTCAATGGATTAATTCGAGCGTTGATTGTGCTCACCATAACATATATGGCATGTGTTTGCACTTTAGTTTGCGGTACAGTGCGGTCTGGCCATATATGTATGTATGTATAGTATATCGGACATATATGATATTGATTTATCGCTGTCTGGCGCACAGATTTATTTGGCCAGAAACAATTAGCAGCACCGAAATGGCAAATGCAGATGTGAGCCTGGCCAACAAAAGGCAATGTGAAAATAAAATTTAACTTGATGATGCATAAAAAAACAATTTTACGCAAATTGTTTGGCCAGCTTGTTTGGTTGGATGGGGTAAATGGGGTAGATGGTGTTGCTGATGGCGATGGTGATGGTGATGGTGGTGTTTGGACAGACAATTGACCACTCAGCACATCGTTAGGATGTGCCAGGATATAAGGCAAGGAGCGGCGCTTGCCAAATCTCAATCCGCATCCAAATCGGACCAAGCAGCAGCAGCTGCAGCTGCCATTTTGTTTTTGCTTGCCTTGCTGCTCACATCTGGAAATTTATGAAATTCTCCATCTTCAACTGCGTGTTCGTCTTTCGCATTTGAGTGTTGTGTGTGTACATTGACATGTCAGGCACACTGAAAACAAAAGCTCAGTCTCTGCCCAATCAGCTGACCTGTTGTTCTTTTTGTAATCAGTAAAAAAATATAAGACAGATTCAAATAAATGCATTGGGTACTCGTTTTATTTCTTCGTAAAACTTTTATAAAAAAAAAAACATATTTTTGAAAATAATTGCAAGCAAAAAAAAAAGTTTAAATAAATATTATTGGCTTCCGTAATAATAACATATTAGTAATGCAAACACTACCAGCAAAGCCTTAAATACTTAATAATGGAGTTGTAAAAATGATTTATTTATAAAAATAAAAAAAATTCATCGTTATTAATTATGTATAAATACACATAATAAGACCTGTTGGCCACCTTGAATAAGGTAAAAAATATTATTGGAAATAATGCAATATAAACAATTATATAATATAATATATAACATTTATATTTATATTTTAAGATTTAAAAAATAATAGTATCCCATAGGCACGAATACAACTTACAGCAACCCTTTCCCAAACACCCTTTTTCTCAGTGTGTAAATAAAGTTGAAAGACAAAGGACAAAGCAAACAATGAGCAACTAGGGGAAAGGAAAGAAAAGGACTAAGAGAGGCCATGTCCTTGTCGAGGGTCGTTGAGTAAAGTGTATTCGAGTGTGGAATATAACGATTAGTTGAATCAGCTGCTACTTCTTCCACCTCTTCAGTTTCCAGTTCTACTTCATCTCATTTCGGGTTCTTCAATCGCAGCCGAAAAACGTATTCCCAATGCCAAAGGCCCCTAGAAAAAGAAGTTAAATTGTAAAGGACTATTAATTACCGTGGGTCTACTTCAATTCCTTGCCATATTTGCAAGAACGTTTGATTGTTCTTGTGTTATATGCTATTAAATTGTAATTGCTTATTATATTAAAGTATACATGATTCTTAAAAATAGTTAATTTTATTTATTTTTTCAACTTTGCCCCATCAACATGACGAACAGCGGTTATAAAAAGAATCTTATCAAAACTTTAGGCGCCATCTGCATTGGGTTTAAAAGCGATGAAATGGGGGTGAATGTGGGATGAAAATGGGCATAAAAATGGGGCTGATTGAGGAAGTGATTGAGGGCAAAGGTGCAGCCTTCTGTCAGAAACTAATGCCATGAATAAATGAATGAATGTTTCGATCTCGATTTCAATTCTATTTCTCACACTCCTCGTTATTTTCCCATGCCTCCCACTCCTATTCCCGTACTTTTTTCTTTCCTTTTATGTAACACTTTTTTTCTCTGTGTTTGAGGTTTTCTCTGTGTGCAACTGCAAATAAAGTTTCGCCTTTTTGACTTGCAGCCGCTTGATTGTCGAACGCATGTTGCATAAAGCCACTTCCGCACTATCTCTCTTCGGTTCAAAATGCCTAACGCCCACCCACTGTGCACTTTAAGAAAAATTGTAATATTCGCATTTGAAGTACGAAATGAAAAAAGTTTTTTTAACTTATGAACATAGCAATTAAAACCAGCTTTGAAGCAACTTTTGAAATTTGAATTTGAGTTTTTCATGAATTTAATACTATAAACTATAATAATTATAAACATTTGTTATCTACTTTAATTTATACTTTAAGTGTACCACTCCGCTGACAGCCGGAAACGAGTGGCGGGGTGGTGGGCGAGAGAGGGGAAGAGAGGGGGAGTGTGACAGGAAAACGGAATTGAAAATGAAACCACGCACGCAGCAAAACACATTGTACTTTGTACTCTGTACTCTGTACTCGGCTAGTCCTTGCACTTGTCTTCCAGTGTCTGCTGGTTGTCTCCTGTCAGCCCCTCCCCTTCCGATCCCTCCGCCCTCCACTTCCACAACTTTGCGCACACTGACAGAAAGTTTTGCACCTAATCCTAATATATGTAATGTATTCAGATATAAATTAAAATCATTATTAATTTTAATGTTTATAAATATTTTAGATTTATTCTAATATTTTATACTTTAATTTATGTATTCATTTACTGATTACAAAAACCAATACAAAATAAAATATAATGTACTTACACTTCAAAATGACAGCCACATTTTTATTTAATTTTCAATACAAATAAATATTATAATAAACTAAGTAAAAGAGGTTATATTTGCACCGGTAAATAATAGTTGTTTTTATGCTGTAAGGTGTGTTGAATGTCTGTCAGCTTCCAAGACATTTAATTATTGAAGCCAAAACTTAAAACATTAGCCGATTCTTTGAACATTTAATTGCTTAAATTATAACAACATTCCATTTAAAATAAATCAATTTATTTTCAATTATTTTTAAACAATTTAAAATTAGAAAAAAAAAATGTTTAGGCTAGTAGAATAAATGATATTTGCGCCGTTAAAGAATATTTTTTTTATGCAGTTAAGTAAAATAAATATTTGTCAGCTTCCATATAAGTTTGTTTATTGGTTATGAACTGCGGCTGATTTTTTTTAGTGCATTACTTTTTGCTCCCCTCCCCCCTTGCACTATTTTCAGCACCTCTTCCCAAGTTTTCCGACGGTTGCAGAAGACAGCACGTTGCCTATTGCAGCCATTACTCAAGCGACAGCAACGGGTGGCCACAGCATCCTCCGATTTTCCTCGCCCGCTTTTCCCAACCCCCTGTCCATTTTCACCCCCCTCCACCCCTCCACCCCTCCACCCATTCAGCCATCCACCCCCTCAATGGCACTGTGCATGCAAACACGTTTCTGATTAGGAATCAACAAAACCGACAACAGCAGCCGGAAAAGGACCTGTTCCTTGGTTCCTTGGACCACCAGAAAGCAGATGGGAAATGTAAGAAAATAAAAAAGAAGGAAGAAAATGCTGGGAAAAGGGGACGTGGTCATAATGACAATGCCACAAAAAGAAAAACTCACTGCAAATGCTGTCCATGCCAACTAGAATAATATTTTCATTGCAGACAGCTCCTTAAGAT